GAAGATGAAAATTATTTATTATTTGCTTATAATAAAAGCTAATTTTTTGGTTTGTCTCACGATGTAGTCACGTGTGATGTAGACGCGACGTTTCGACTGCATACTGATAGTCTTCTTCAGACGACCAGGTCGACTGGTCATGCGTGATCTTCTAAAGCAGGATGTTCTGCTGTGATTAGTTGTTTTTACAACAGCTCTGATTGATGTATTTCGATACTTGCTGTTCACTCAGTGATTTGCTCCCTCGGCGGTCCGCTGTTGCACGGCTCTCCTGTTGTTGCGTTTTTTGATCGTGGGCATCCACGCTTCTGCAATTTCCATTCCACTATCCCTGTTGATGTTGTTAGGGTGAGGTCTTATATGAATTGCCTCTTTGCCCCTGCGCGTGTAGTAATAAGGGTCACGATCAATAAACTTTACTTCGTTCCAGAGTGGCTTGTGTCCAGTGTTGCGGGCATGCTCTGAAACGACGGAGGTCTCAGTACGGGCGAGTCGAATGTCTCGATCGTGCTCCTTAATTCTGTCTTGCGTAGCTCTTCCAGTCTCTCCGACGTACACCTTGCCGCATCTACAGAGAATCCCGTAAACTACGCCATCTGGATTGATCGTGATCCTTATTACTACCCGCGCAGCGTAAAAGAGGCAATTTATATAAGACTTCACCCTAGCAACATCAACAGGGATAGTGGACTAGAAATTCCAGAAGCGTGGATGCTAACTGAACAGAGTGCTGTAAAGAACTCAACACCACAGCTTCCCTGTCAATATTTGATATCTTTATGACTGCACAGTGTTTATTGAGTGGAGCGAAGGAAATCTGTGGCAAACGTGACCGGTCGTAGGTTTTTGTGTACGTACTCCTCTCTAGTGGCACTTCTAAAAACTGACCCTGTCTATCATGTGTAGCTCATTGGAGCTGGATCATGGAACATGAAACTGTATGAAAACTATGATCTATTTCGGTAACAAGAATAAAAAAAAAAGTTGTTCTATCACGCGTGTTTTTAGTGCGCGCGATGTCTGACCAACGTAAACACAATCACAATCTTTAAATTTGAGCTTTTACACGATTCCTCTGGAAGCCTCTCTCTCGATCCATCGTGTCGTTTGGCTTTTTAATTACGGTCGGAATTGAGTGGATAGGCTTATAGGCGACTTTGATGTTGAAACTTTGAAGAAATTTAGTGACTCTCTCGGAAAATCCTTTGGCATAAGGCGGGATAACCAAGCCGCACTGGTTGGTATCATTAATTTCGTGTTGTCTATTAGGTTGGTGGCCATTGTTTGTGAAATTAGCATGGTATTTATTAGCGGCGAGGGCTTTCGTTACTCCCAAATGGTTGTTTAGATACGTAGATGACAGCTACGTGTGTGTAAAAAGGGAACACGTAGATGAATTTCATTCACACCTCAATTCCATCAACCTTCACATCAAATTTACAATCGAGATAGAATCAGAAGGTTCCACTGGCTTTCTTGACACTAAAAAAACCAGACAAGAAGATGGCACGACCACTGTGCCTGTCTACAGGAAAGCTACTAACACCGACCTTGTTTTCAAATCACACCACCATCCCCAGTACAAAAACTCTGTCGTGCGCACTCTCATGGATCGCGCAAAGAACATCCTTCCGCTAAGGACGAAGTGTCTCGGGAAACTAAGCGAGTAGCGAAAGCCCTCGCCGCTAATAACTACCGTGCTAATTTCATTCACAATGGCCGCCAACCTAATAAACATCGCACGCACTAAAAACACGCGTGAAAGAACACACAAATGCCTTAGCAACACTGCATGAAAACTCTCTGTTGGCCAAACACCATATGCTTTACAGTCACCAAATAGATTTGGAGAGTGTTGAAATTGTTGAAAGGTCATCGGCGTGGCGACAAAGACTAATTCTTGAAGCTTGGTATTCCATGCGAGATAGAAACGCTCTAAACGAACACTAAACGCTACCAAACATGTAAAATAACATTAAGAATTTTTAGAGCCATTAAAAATACTCTAAAGACTATGGTTACACTAAAAAATTCCTTCAAGATTTAGTTTTATCATACACGTGGACATATACCAAGCAGGACGCCGTTAGATATTTGCATTTTTTTAATCTCTGCTGAAGAAGACAACAGTTAAGTAGCCGAAACGTCCAACAAAATATTTTTTAGCCAGTGCCAACTTTTTTTTTTTCTTTTTACAAAAATTTTTAATATGCCTGGTACACACCTACTATTTTTATGATCTATTTCAATCCTATAAACACTACTTAATTAGTTAAGTTATTTAGCAGCAGAAATGACATAAAATGCTCCGCCAGATAATGCTGTTGGTGGGCAGTAATACATTGCAGGACGTAACCATTTACACAAATTTTTCTTGCGCAAAACATTTTTGATATACACAGGAATTGAAAGGACTTCACGTGTATCCAAACTATGAATCTTGATCTTACCTGAAAATTAGAGACGCCAAGTCCATCTGAAGCTAGTTTGGTTAATGTTTGACTGAAAAGACTTGGATCTAGTAAATCAGCTGTGCAACACGGACAAAACGTCATCAAAAAAAGCATTACAGCGACCGAATTCCCATTTTCAGGAAGGAACGACGAAGACGCCATGTTTTTGAGGTGACAGTCGTACTTAGCTAGCACCGTCTTCTAGTCGCCGTTTCAGCTCGTTTCCACAGCAAGATACTGCTTACGTTGAACCCCAACGCTTTTTCCTGGCTAGTATTTTTTTCTATTTTAACGAATGACGTTACCTGATCCCAATATTTCACTTTCGTGATCATAGAAACTAGAATTTGTATTCTGTTTATCGTCAAGTAACTGCGAAATTATTTTATATTGTTTTTTTTTTCAATTGAACTACCGTTGTATGCTATGTTTCTATTCAATTAGGTCCGTGCTTTTGCATAAGGTTATGTAAGAATTACGTAACGCTGGCAGCGTTTTATTTCTCGCCAGTGTGCGTTGTCTTCTCTAGATAATTTTCATTGCTAATTGATTTCAACTTAGTCGTTCCGTTAGTTTTGCTAGGGCCGTGTTACTTTTGTTTAAGAGTTTTACACACAAGTTACGCTATTCAATTTAATGCGGTATATTTACTTGTAAGTATGATTTATAATTTTAGCCAGTATTGTATTGTAAGTAATCATGAAATTCAGCCTTATTAGGCTGCCATCTGATTTTTAATGAAGCTATCTATCTATCTATCTATCTATCTATCTATTTGCATATTCGATCACGTCAGATATATTGCGCATCAAGTCTATCGGATCTGATACATTATTTGCATTCTGGCGTAAAGTTGTCTGTTTCAATGCACTTTCGGCTTGATCGATCAGAACCGTTTTTTTATGGTATCGATAAAATTCCCTAAAAATCGGTTGTTCGACCGGAATCGTTTACTTCAGCTCGCCTTGTCACCTTACGCAGGTGTTCGTAATAGCATGGGTAATTACCTGAAAGTAAAACTACTAGAACGCACGTGGGATAGCCGATCTACTTCACTGACCACATGAAAATTCTGTAAACTTCCTGTTTGGTTGAAAAATCCCACGCGTTCGTTCTGTTAATTATGCTGTTTTAGAGAAAATTACTTAGGATTTAAACTACTTTTCACACAAGGCAATTGTTAAGAAGCTGATGTGGAGTGCAGTGTCAAAACGCCATCCCAGCTCAATCAAATCAATCTTTCCGTATTCCGTTTTCCCTTCATCCGGCTAACCATTCCAAAATTCATTATTTCAACCTCGTGACATCATCACGATGCCGACTTACACAACATATATATCTCCACAACAAATCCGCTGTTCAATTTGCTTGCGGGCTGGTAAAGTGGACTTCGTTCGAGTGAACGAGGCCATTCAAGGTGTCCCAAAAATAACCCTTATAATTCTTTAAACTAATTCTTAAACGGGTCTCAATGAAAGGTCAAATTTAAGCTTGAGTATGAGTTTTACTAGAGTCATTTTAGGTAAAGGGAAAGCAACTAGAACCGGCTTAAAGGTAACTTTTTTTAAGCTAGTGCAACGTCTTTACGAGAGGACATGGGCATGTGTCAATGTGAAATATTTTCAGTCCATAGTTATGTTTGCTTAATTTTTTTCCTTTAAGAGCTCAGTCGGTCTCCTTTCCCCTTCTGGAATAGCTACTAAAAGATGTCAAAGCAGACTGTTCAGCAGGTAGGCAGAATTGATAAGAATGCTACTTCTTTTTATTTATCAATACTAGCTAATGGTAGTGAGAATATAGAAGTCATCAACTTGTTGATGTGAGTTCTGGTTTTTTTGGAAAAGGAAATCGTCAAAGTAAACTCTGATATGAGAATTGCACAAGGAAGCTTAGGGAAGCTGGGGAAAGAACAGATAATATCTCTGCAAACACTATCTAGAGCTTCACTGACAGACATAATTCACACACCTCTGGAGTTATTTTTAGAATTTTACCTTAAGGATCCAGGCCCATTTGTTTGAAGGCCGATTAGCACTAATCCATGGTTAAATTTTATTCTGGGATTCTTTATTCCACTGTTCAAAAGCCTTTATAGGATAATTTTTTCTGTGCCTTTTTAGAGAATCCAACTATATTGTAGACAAAAAAATTGCACTGAATTTTCTTTTAAAGCTGTCAGATCTGAAATCAGATCTCACACACTAACCATAGGTTATCTAAACCAAACTACGAACAACCTGGCCCCAGATCTAAAAGTGTAAAAATTTATGAAAATTTGATATTTCAGGTAGCATGATTATTTCTTGCATAATTTTCAATGGTAGAGAAAATACTTGTGTGAAAAATACGTCTCTTTTTATCATTATTAATAAATTTAGGTTCATTTGCCTGTCTTCTTGTTGTAATTTCAATGTTGCTTATGTAGGGGCTGGAAATTTAATATAAATTTCACCAACAGATCTTAAATTTGTTAAGACAAACCTTTTCCAACAATTACAGAAAATGTGGTAAACTCAGTCTGAAAAATTGCAATTCCTCATATATATGAGTTAGTGTGTACTCATTTGTAATGTGTGCTAGCTATCTTAACAATATTTGTTGCTCTTTTTGCATAGTTCAAGTTCAGAGGATGATAAATACATTGAACCAAGGACAAAAGTCCCCACTTTTCATTTTCAAGACAGCCTTCCTCGGCTACCAATTCCAAAGTTAGAAGACACATGTCGCAGGTATCTGGATGCACAGAAACCTTTGTTAACACCTGAACAGTATGAAGACACTAAGCAACTTGTTGAAAAGTTTCAGAAACGTGAGGCTCCAGGTGTGTAATTTATTAAAATATATTAAATTGTATTATTTTATTATAGTCTTTTGGGGATTGTCATTATTTTTGTTACAATTATTATGATATCATTGTTGTAATTATAATTAATACTATCTTCTCCAACATTGTTTTTTAAATAATTCTTTAATCCTAAGGGTGGCCAGAATCTAATTTATCTTTACAGTAAGACTGCTGAATAACCAACCTAAAAAGCTTTGATTGTTAAACAGGGTCTCCTGGTCAATACCAAAAGATATGTGTAGAAAAGGGTATAGAGAATACAGATTTTGATGTCAGGGTTCAGAATCTAAAAGATACTGACTTGTGAAATAGTATTCTTAGGCATCAGAGATTAGAGAATTATTTAGCTACAACTCTGGCTAAAATTCAACAGCTTTGTAAAATTCACATGTCTTGGTTTTGAGAAATTTGCTACATGAAAAAGCAGCAATCACTGGCTGAATAAATTCAGTTGGAAATCACCTTGTAAAAACACAACTGGAACTCCTCATATTACGCACTTAGATGTACAATCGTTCAAGATCTAACATTCTCTTTTGGCTGCCTCTCTTGAAATTTCAGCCAGCAGCCTAATTTCTTAGCTAAATCCCTGTAGAACTAGCATATAAATATATACAAATATGAATTTTCACCTGTGCCTTCTAACAAGCTTTCTATGGTTTTCTCAGTTACAAAAATCTTTTGCAACTATATATTTAAATTTTCATCAGCTTGCTTTATGAACAATAGCCCCTATTGGCTTTCAATAATGCATGGATGTTTGTCTGCAGACAGTATTGGTTCCAAGAGGCAAACAGTGTGTGGAGAGTGAAGCTCAAGGAAAACTGTGAGCTTTGAGGAACAGATAGTGTCCAGAGACAAATATTTGTGCATTTTTGTGTGCAAAATGGAGGCTATTTTATCCTTTATCTTTCAAATACTTTTGTAATGCACAGGGGAAAAACCTTTGAAACTTTATGCTAGCATAATGACCTGTAGTTTTTCTTTGCCCACACAGTGTTTTGTGTTCTCTTCAACAGGCCTTCATGCAGAGCTTATACAGAAAGACAAGCGCAACAAACATACAAGTTACATAGCAGGTATCTCATAAAAGCTATAAAATTATGTACAGACTTAGAAAGTGTTGCCTGCATAATTCACAGGATTCAAATTAAGCTACATGTCTTGTTCTGTTTTTATGCAAGTATGTTTTGTATCATTACACCCATATTTTATATTGCAAGTCAAATGCTGAAAATAAGGCTAAATGATTTTAAGTTGTATTTGTTTTGTATCAAAGTTTTGTATTGCAAGTAATGTATTGTAATACGAAATAACCTATTAAGCATTTTGGTGTGTAGTATTACTGAGTATTTTACTCCTTGTTTCCTGTATTTTGACTTGCCATTCAGGCTGGTCAAAATATAGCACAACTTGTGAAAAGACTTAGCATGAGTAGCAAAATACTAAAATGTTTAATATTAAGATATTTTAGTGTATAGTAACATTGTGGTGTGAAATGTAGAATAGAAAAAAAAAAAGAAAGGCTTTTATTCTGATGATGTGAAAGTCAGCTTGTGGAACAGTTTTGACAACTCTCGTAACCCTTTCACTCCCATTAATGACCAAGACAGAATTTCTCCTCACAATATCATTACAATATTAAGCAGACAGCTGATGAGAATGAAGAAAAATATCAATTAGGGGATTTTTAGTTGATCCAATACTAAATTCTCTGTACTAATATTATAACACATGTATGGCAGATAGTAAGGAGAATTACTTATGAAATCTTGGAAGTGAAAGGCTTGAGCTCTGCAACTCTGTTCCTACTTTTTATCATAAACTAAGGGTCAAGTTGTTTGTCTTTTTCCCAACAAATGAAAACTTCAGCTTCAGTTTCATTACCCAATTCCCTCTTTTGTATAATTCTTATCTTATTAATTTTAGCATCTGCTTTTCACTTAAGTAATATTCTAATTTGTTATAATTGTTGTATTATTTGAATTGTTAGTAATGTCATCATTTCAAGTTATGATAGTATTAAAATTATATACATTGTCACTGAAAAGCCAACTTTAAGGAATGTTTTTAAAATTTGTATTGTACAGAAAAATGTATTTTTCATCAAGCTAGACCACACTTTTGGCAGTTGGCTATTTCCATGAGCATTTTTTTTATAAAGGCAATCTACTTTATTCAAAAAGCTTTCTAATGTACTCCTTACCTATCTTATGTCACCAAATCACCTTGCAGATTTTTTTTCATATGAACACATAGATACTTGAAATAATATTAATATGTGTCCCTTCAACTGACTTATTGGAGTCCTTGATATCATTGTCTATCAGGTCCTTGGTATGACATGTATTTAGAAGCCAGGGATTCTGTAGTTCTAAACTACAATCCATTCTTGATGTTCAAAGATGATCCAGTGGCTGAAAATAATAATCAGGTACCATTGTGATAAAATTACAGTATTGGATTCAAACAAAGATTCATTTTTTTTTTTTTTTCATATGTACTTATTATTACTGATCGTTTTTGTTTTTGTTTGTTTGTTTTATTTGACAACAAGCACTGCTAAAGGAAAAACTATTTGAACCTCAAACCCCCTTAAGATTTGGGCTGTGATTCTGTGACACTTATCAGTTAGAGTACTAGAATGGGGAGCCTAAGGTGACTGCTAGGTTTAATTATGACATTCCTCCTGCATAATGCTTGGATCAGCAATTTCTAAAATGTAGTGTTCTTTGCTGTGTTCTTGTGATAGGTTGTTAGGGCAACCAACATGATAAAGTCTGCGATGAGGTTCAAATTATCATTAGATGATCTTTTTCTTGAGCCTGATATATTTCATCTAAATCCCAAATCAAGTGACACACAGTGGTTTCGGAATATTATAAGGTATGTTTCTTACAGTCAGTTACTCTAAATGCATTTGGCATTTTGTGATTACTTCTCTTTTGCTTTTACAATACTCAGTCATCAGTCATGCTCTTTCTATCAGCAGTTCGTTACTCTTCTTGAGTCAACCTTTTGACCCTAAGAGTGACTAGCATCTATTTTCTCCTCACATTGTCAACCCTGAATCACACAATAACATCATGAGAAGAAAGGAAATGATCACTTACTGAAGAAGCTCTTGATTGGTTGAACAAATTCTCCTTGTCAGCACCATAGGAAATGTATAGAGAACAGCAGAGAGAATATTCATACTGATGTTAATGGCTCATGATATTATTTTCAGGTTTGTTCCTCGGCAGCTGTCTTGGTATGGTGCATTTCTTGTAAAAGCTTTTCCTCTGGACATGAGTCAGTACAGCAGACTGTTTTGCTCCACACGGATACCAGAGCTGAAAAAAGACAAACTGGCCACATTTGAAACCGGACGGCATATTCTTGTCATGAGAAAAGGAAACTTTTACGTGTTTGACACAATCACAACAGATGGTAAGATCGGAAACATCACAAATGTATCACAGTAAAGAGATGTATTTTTAAAACGGTGACCAGGACATGTTACAAGGGAAATAATTTTAAGAGCAAGGAAATATGTGGCTCAAATATTGCGTGCTAAATATTTCAGGTCGATGGGAACTATTTTATCTTTAAGTAGTTCCATGTTAATGAACAAGACTTCACTTTGTTGACTGTTTTTCAATACCGTGACTGGTTCTCTAAATGTAAACGTGTTACTTTTCTCATTTTTAGGTAACATAGTCCCAACTGCCACCATATATCAAAATCTCAAATACATCATTGAAGACTCCACCCCTGCCCCCAACTTCCCAGTAGCTGCTCTGACGTCAGAAAATCGTGACAGTTGGGCGAGCATGCGCCATGCTTTGGAAGCCATTCCAGGTAATGAGGAGGTCCTCAAGTTGATTGACAGCGCCGTGTTTGTTCTCTGTCTGGATGATCATGACGTTAGCAGTATTGCGGATGTTGCGCGAACGTTTCTTCACGGTGATGGACGAAACAGGTAAAGAACTTTGAAAGCTTCTCTATATCTGTGAATTACTGTAGCGGGGTAAATAATGGAAGCCTTGCATCTAATTGTTTTATAGCTCTTTATCTTAGAGCATTGTCAGGTAAATATTTTCTGTGACATTTTTATCTCTCAGATGGTTCGACAAGTCATTCCAGCTGATAATTTGCAACGATGGAAAAGCAGCAGTTCATTTTGAACATGCTTGGGGCGATGGAGTTGCTGTGTTGCGTTTCTTCAATGAGGTAAACATAGTAAATTATTTAGTTTACATAATGCGACTTTGATAAGTTGTTAACCTCACAGGAAAGAAATATAAGCATTTTTCCGCTCTCGACTCTTGTGCCACTGTTTAAGCGCGCTTGGTATCCGCATCACCCTTTCCCGCGCTTGGCACTCGCGTTACCTTTTCCCGCTCTGGACATCTGTGCCACTTTTTTACCGCGCTTGGCGTCCGCATCACTCTTTGCCGCGCTTGGTATCCGCGTCACCCTTTCCCGCGCTTGGCATACTGTACGCGTCACTTTTTTTCCGCGTCGGACATTTGCGTTACTTTTTCCCGCGCTTCATATTCCGTTTTCTTGTCCTTGCAAATTAGGATTTTCATATCAACCTAGAATTCAAGTCGAACATCTATCGATATCAACGTCTTAATTTTTTCCTTTCACAGGTTTATAAAGACACTACGACTCGGCCGGCTTGCACCCCGGCCACCGCTCAAAACTTCAACGCGCAAGCGACCGCGAGAAAATTGGACTTTAAATTAAACCCTGAAATTGAGAGAGGAATCAGCGCCGCTAAAGAGGAATTCGACAAAACTGTAAATGGACTAGACATTGCCGAGCTTCAGTTTCACACATATGGAAAAGATTATATAAAGAGCAAGAAACTCAGCCCTGATGCAATCATGCAGCTGGCTATTCAGGTAAG